TGCTGTCTTCAAGATCAGCCTGACAATGAGTTTACTTATGAAGAGATAATCGTTCTCAAGTGATAATAGCGAAGCATGAATATTTAATGTGGAGCAGTACATGCTCATGCTTTTTTTTGAGACTCAACACGAAACAATAGCTTCAACAAGATCGTCGGCATGCCAGAGACATGATAGAATCGTACTCCAACAGTTTCAGCATGTGACAAAGAAAGTGTGCTTAATGTTCATCAAGAAATTTAATTGATATCAAAAAAGTGTTTTTTGTTGTTGTTTGTTATGAATTGAATGAAAAATGTCCAATGTAACATGTCAAAATCAGAAATGAAGTAAACGAGGTGGAACTGTCTGGTCGAGCGTTGCGTTGCGCACCTCGAATTTACCGTCCGAAAGCACAGTATTATCATTCGTGATCTAGAAGAAACACCCTACGTTACATGGAAAAGAAGTATGCTAAAAGTTTCTGGTACGATGATGCACCTGCATCGTCCGTATAAATGTGGTACATCGTTGTACCTGTGTCAAAAGTTCATTGCTTTTTGCGTCACTGATTATTCGCCTTCATTTTGTTCGTTATTATATGGTCGGTTGAACATGTAATAATTAATTCGGGAATTTTTTTGTACTGATGTAGAATTTTGAGAAGTTCTTTATTGGAGTAGAGTGTTTGCGATTGTTGGAATATATTCATTATTGTTGAGTATATTATTATTGTTGTGTTCGAGAATTTATTGGAGTAGAGTATTTGTAATATTTTCAATATTGTTGTTCATTATGAGTTGTTGAAGTGGATCAGTGAATTGTATAATGAGAATTGCTAATGTAGTGCAGATTGGTTTGTTAAGGAGAGTTGAATGAAATTGTGGTAAACGATTGATTGCGNCATTAGGTGTCGTCGTGTTGTCATGAATGTGATTACATATCAGTAGCTGAATAGACAAATCGTCAGTTGTTAGTCCCAAAAAGTGAAACAACCATTGAGATGGATAGTGAAACTGATTAGCGTTGATTGTGAATAAGTTTATTAATATTTCAGCATTTTTGGAAAGTGACGAAGAGTTTCACGACGCTTCCGATAAAATGAATAATGATTCGCGGAGCGATGATCGGTTTGTAGTTTCTTTTTTTTTTCAAAAAACTTATCGGTTTCATGTCATATCGATCTCTCTATAATCCATAACAACATTCCATTTCTGAGCGTGCTGCCGTTCTCGTAATTATTTCTATCATAAATATGATAACGGCTGTAATTCTCTTTATTCGCTTCTTCTCGAAGGCTGAAATTCTTCCCGAAGAGTTTGTACGCCTAGATGACAGTTGTTGAAGAAAATTGCCTGGTATTTGAAGGAAATCCAATTCATCGCATACCGGTTCAGTGTGTGAGGAGGCGGATCGGGCATTATTTGATGCCGAAATTGTGACACCTTCCGCCGCATCTGTTCAGGTTCAACAGTTTAGATTTCTTTTTTTTAAATTTCCAATATCGAGGCTCAACACAGTGGGAAATTTAGTCAACATCTGAAAACATCAAGAACAAACTCATACGAACAAATGGAAAATTTCAGTGGCACTGAATATTGCAATTTTGAATTGGAGGTTTTTGGGTCCTCTGATAATGAGATGATTTTTTGTGGCAATAAATTTTTGCAGTGCATGTCAACACCTTGGCATCAATTAGTTTTTTGAATGCTTTGACTTACTTGATGATTCAGTTTTCTCTTCATTCGTTAGTTGCATAGAACTGTTAATTATGAAACGGTAATTATGTAATAGAATAATGGATGATTTTGAAATAAATTTCAGTATAATGCAGGGTCAAGACCGTTAGTTCCTCGCGTCGATCATCAGTCGGTTGCCAAACGGAGACGAACGCGAATACCCGATCGACCGCAAGTATCGCTTAATTTATGGTCAATTATGCGAAATTGCATTGGCAAAGAACTCTCAAAAATACCTATGCCGGTTTGTTGCTGTTTCGTTTTGTTTTGCTCTTCTCATGTTGCAGATTGTTGGGGAGGGAGGAGGGTGGAGCACAAAGAGCACATATTCTTAGTAATTGTGGTACATGTTTTCTCATGGCTGAGCTTTGAAAACACACGTAATGATTCGTAATTTGTTGTTCTGTTTACTCGGTTAATTCAGCTCATAATCTTCGAGTAATTTTTCGTCAAGCAAACGATTATTAATGCTATGGTTACAAACACGAATGTTCGTACTTTGCTGTCATAGGCTGAAAGCCTCTAAAATACATCGTTGAACGTTCAATAAAGTATGAATGAAATGAATTCCAGGTGAATTTCAATGAGCCATTATCAGTACTGCAGCGAATCTCTGAAGATCTAGAGTATTCTTATTTGCTGGATATGGCTGCAGATTGTAGTGATTCGCTAGAGCAAATGTGCTACATTGCTGCTTACGCGGTAAGTTCATATTCGACGACCGGTAATCGAACAACGAAACCGTTCAATCCACTGCTCGGTGAAACGTTCGAATGTGATCGTATGGCTGATCTCGGATGGAAATCGCTCGCCGAACAGGTAACACCTTTTGTATGCTCGATAGAAGGTTCTCACCATCACTACTAATAGCAATCAGTTCAGCAATTCCATTCATCGATGTATGATCATTAATAGTCGATTGTTTAAGGTTTCGCATCACCCACCAATAACCGCTCATCATGCAGATGGTCGAAAATGGACGGTACATCAAGATTTTACGATGACTTCACGATTCCGTGGAAAATACCTCTCTGTTATTCCGATTGGCTATTCACATGTTCAGGTTGGTTTTTATCCATCACTTTCATATCTTTCTTTGAACAAAACTTCCGACAACTCAATTGTTGATAGTTTGAAGCCATTTGGATATGAAATGTTTGTATTGTTACTGTCATCAGACGTTTTATCATCAACAGATTTGCTGGATTTTTCACGCCGTATTCTTGAATAAAGTGTTTGCTTGAATTTTTTTATAGTCGTTCTTTTTATCAGTAAGTGTTGCTGATTGCAGTTGAGTTTCATCACTGATCGAAACGCTCCCTCATTATCGAATGATTTGAGCATTGGTTCCTCTGGCACAGGATTTTCTCGAATAAGATGACAGTGATAAGTAGCGCAATAATAATAATGATAATAATAATGATATAATAATANAAAAAAGGAAGTGACTTTATAAAAATTTCAGTTTCGAGGTCAGAAAAATATCTACTCATTTAAAAAAGTAACAACAACAGTTCATAATATAATTGTTGGTAAATTATGGATTGATAACCACGGTGAAATGGTCATTGATAACCATGCAACCGGCGATAAATGCTTCCTGAAATTCCATCCGTACAGCTACTTCTCCAGGGAAATACCTCGCAAGGTTATTTTATTTCTTCCATTTTCTTGATGCGTCAGATTGTAAATTCATGAAATTTTTTGTGTAATGAAAATGGTAACGTTGCAAACAATGATGATAATATTAATAGCGGTTCTGTTAATTGTGAAAGTTTATCAGCATTAGTGAATGCTAAAATTATGCTCAGGTGACGGGTTTAGTAAAGAATAGCAAAGGAAAAGTGGAGTGGATTATTCAAGGAACGTGGGATAAAAGTTTGGATATGTTAAGAGTGATCAAAGATAATGATAACAAAGGCGAAAAATCTGTTTTTGAAACAGGTCCTCCACTGCGTATGTGGACCGTTAATCCGCCCTAGTGAGTTTCATTTTCAATCGGTCACTTATGAATTTGCGTCAATCAATTTTATCGTTTCTTCAGTTTCTTTACCGAAACTTCTTTCTTGATGTATTGATTGTGTTGTTACATTTGCCAACAATTTCTTCGTTAAGCCAGCTCTCCAGTTTCGTGAAATAGATTCCGCTCGCTGTATCTCTGTATCAGTTAGTACTGATTAAAGATCTCATAATCCTATTTGATGTTTTTTCCCCCAAAAAAATTCGTAGGAAACTGGAGTGATGGCTTAGAGATAATTTGTTGAGGATAATATTAGAACATATGCGATAATACTGAGCAAGAATTGTTCTCATTTGAATGCGTTTGATAAAAAAATTGGTTTGATCAATCAGTCGGTTTTGGCTGAATCACGTACTTCATACGCAATGATTCGATATTCTTTTTTTCGTTGAAGCTGGATTCATTGTTGCTAGATTAAAATTATTCGTTAGAGAAGAATAAGAAGTTGCAGTCCAAATTGCGAAAAGATGTACTATTTCACAAAGCTTGCCGTGGAGCTGAATGAGCCCGAAGTTGGTGTTGCACCAACGGATTCAAGACTACGTCCTGATCAAAGGTTAATGGAAGAAGGGAAATGGGATGNCGTAATCTTTCACTGATTTTCAGCAGATTTTCATATTATAATACTGATGGTATTCATTATTACGCAATGAGATTTGCAGTGTTTCTTTGAGGATAAATATTCAAACTGTGCTTCTTTCTGATGATGAACGTTTTAATTGCTGCGGAATATTCAAATCATTTCAATAAGCGCCCATATTCTCATGTATAACATTCATCAAACCATCAGTGTTTTGTGTTCAGGGGAGCCCTTCGAGGAGTATCAGCCGATATGGTTCAGAAAGGCGCAGCATGAGCCAACAGGTGCCGTAATTCACATGTTCACGGGAGAATATTGGGAGAAGAAGAAACTTGGAGATTGGTCGATTTGTCCCAATATATTTTAGATCCATATCGACTTTTGTTCTGCATTATTGTTTTATCTTTGAGTTTTTTCATATTCTGTTCGGTAGATTGAATGTCTTTGTTCAATGATATTATCATTGCCTTATCATTTTGAATATTATTTCGTTTACTGAGCAAACAAAAATGGAGTATTAGCTTCATTTTTTTGAATGTGAATGACTCGACTCAAATGATGCTATGTCAACATCTGTTCGATACTAAAACTTCGATACAACACTGAGTAATATTTATGAAGTTTCAAAACGAACAAAAAATCAAATGCAATCTGCAGTTCTTCAGAAAATACTGCACAGTTGTCTTTTCGTTATGAATAGCGGTATGCATGCTCAGATTAAACTGCATCCTCAAATAGTTGAACATTCTAGTTTCATCACATGAAAAGCATCAATATTCTCTGCAGTGTCCACTCTTCAGTGATGAAGAATGATCACTTTTAAAGCGTTACTAGTATTGTCTCTTTTCTCGAAGTGATTCTCATTCACTTGCTTTGTTGTGTACAAAGAATCTGCGTTCATCTTTGACGTTGATAAAACTTTCTATATTTATCATAGCAGATATTAGTTTTGAAAGCACACATCTGTGATGAAATGCCATTAAGGGATTGATTGATAGTTCGTGGCATGTTTGTATACATTTTGGTGTATTTTCCTCATTTGTTAATTCCTTTACCAATGCTACGATCTTTATCAATGCATGTCTCACGGTCAGAATTCACCTTAAATTGCAATAATGTTTACAAAACATTCGTTGTGCTACGAAAATTGAAAGAATAGAAAGAAGGAACTGTTCCCACAAGTTGCAATTACGTTCCCACAAATACAATTATATACTGTAACTGCGGTAGTTTACGATCATAAATAGCGTTTTTAATGAAACTTTTCGTTGTGAATGTTCATATTTTGGTGTTTATGACTGTGCTTTGTATGATTGTTATTAGGGTTGACTGAAAATTATTAATTTTCATTTTCATGACCTGCTTTGACGATCGTTTCTTCAGTTTGAGTGAAAGATAGTGGCGGGTTTTTTCACTATCTTCCTCAATCGGCTTTTGTGAATGTTTCCGAAATGAATTCGTTTCTACCGAATTAACAATTCTCTCGAATTGTGTCAAGCTGTTGATGGGTTTCTGGTCTCATTTGATCGTTTTCCTTGTGTTGTTTGAGATCGCCATAGTACACTTTGGAAGTAAGTGTTCATTGCTGACTGTGTAATATTATGAAATGATTTTCACCGTTTTGCTGAATTAAATGCAATGTCTGTGATTGTGGTATACGTTTTATTTGATTGTGATTGTACTCTTTTCTTGAAGAAAAGATGTAAATATTTTACTTTCAAATCGTTTTATATGTTTTTTTTTCTCGTTGAGTTTTATGGTAGAAATGATATTTTAAAGTTGTTCTCGTTCAGTGTTGCTCTGATTCATTTCTCATATGTTTTAGCGGCAGAAATGTGATAGCTGTTATTGATGATACCGGAAACTTTCACATATTCGCCAACAGTTTATCTCTGTTTTTTNTTTTTTATGCAACATCAAAATTGTAGCTCGATTGGTCAGTGTGTTTTGTTGAAAAACGGAAAGAAATCCTCAGTCTGCCGATCACTTTCGATATTTACTCGTTCTGACGACCATTTTCGATATTTTACTCATCTATTCCTTCTTTTTCATAATCGTTCTTCTTCTCGGTTTTTTTCACCTATTTAAGGGCAGCATCGTTTAAAAGCGCATCTGGGATTAGCAGTGCATATCAATAGTTTATTTTCTGCATTTATTATGAGTTACGTTCACATCCGGTTGACGGTGAGTGATCGGTAAAAAAGTCAAGAATCAGCAAGTGAGAAAGGGAAAACTGAACTCTGTTGGATATGAATTCATTCGTGACCTGTCATTATTCGAGTAGATGATAATATTTATCATCGTTCACTTTTATAGTGACAATTTGTTTTTCTATCGAAATATTTTCAAACGGTTTTGATTGATGTGTTCGGTGTTAATTCGTAAACGTTAAAGGAAGTATCAACAATAAATTATTCTTATTTTTTGTTATGTTTCCTCGCACTTGGACGTCCTCGGTGTTAATGTTTGGGTTAAGGTGACAAACTGAGTGGTGAGTGGTTGTTGATTGCATTCATGACGGTTTTATCATTCATGCAATAATCATTTGCAAGGTTAAATATAAAAGACAACGTGATTCAGTTGTGCATGTAAAAGAGGATTCGCAAAAGTGCAAATTCTTAACTGCCCATGAAAGACTCCATTCAACATAGGAACACAAAACAGATTTTTAAAAAAGCATCCTATATTTCTGATTGATGTGTATGCAGTGTGACTGCAGACTAAGATCTTAATTATGATAAGAGTCCAAAAAGGCTATCTCTTCAATTTCTTTACGCCTATAGGTTTTGGTTCTTGCAAAAGATTTTTAAATTTTATATAAGGCCAAAATTGAGTTAATCAATGACAATCAGTGCAAAATTTATGAACGTTTAAAATGAAATCAGATTAGATTCAATGGTACTGATACAACATTCGGTTTCAAGTTAAAGTTTTTACCCCAAGTAGATTGAATTATTAGATCAGACATACTTCGCTTCTGGTGTTTGCACGAGATCTCGGTAATACCGAATACTGGTATTAGAAAAGCTGTACCGATCTCGGGATTCGTGGTGTCGATATTCACGGTATTTTCGGTATTCATAGCACAAGTCATTTTTAGTGAATTTGGTAGTATATCGATCACGACTAGAACATACCCATTTTTCGTATTTGTTAAATTTCTTGAGCTTTGGTGAGTGATTTGTTAAATAAATTGTTTTCTGAATAATAATGAAGACATTGGCTGAAAAAGAATGTGATGAACAAGTCGCATTTCTATATTTCAAAAGTTGCTTTTCAATACCGGTATCGTATTGGTATTGAAAAACGATACCGGTATTAATACCGATCTCAGTATTCAGAAAATGGTCGATATTTTGCAAGTGAAGAGGAGCACTAAAACAACTGAGAGTGAAATAAAGTAAAGAAATGAAAAGTTTAAAAGAACTGGGCAAGTTGACAGGACTGGTATTATGAAACTCATGTTAAATGATTTCAGTAAGATATCTGTAACATAGGTGAATAGGTAAACAAAAAATGGTAATTCATTGTATATATCATTTCTGACAATGCTATTGTTTATTTAGATCCTTCAGTGGTAGCTAATTTAACATTAATATGGTTTTTTTAACGTGATTATCTGAAAAAATAATTGGAAATTCTCATTTCCAGCATTTCAAGGTTATGTTTTCTTTTTTTGTACAATTCCATTTTGGCATACTTTATGCTGACAAAATATATCGATGCAATTAGTAATTGTTGATGCATGAAACGACGAATCTGAACAAAATGGCCTTGAATTTGATACGTTTAAACGTACTTGTGAGGATTATTGCCAGGGGAGACATTAGTATGTTTATATATCAAATATCGCTTTGCCCAGTACTATCTTCAGGTTAAACCAGTGAATAACACTGGAATAAGTCTCAGATTCAAGATCTTTACAATATTTTCCTCCCAATCTTGAAATTCTAATGTTCATGATTCCCNTGCTGACTTCATCGAAAACACATGAAAGTTTTTATTAAACGAAACGTATGATATTATTCTCTCATCGTTCATGCGATTCTCAGCGTAATATCACCAAATGACACGAACAACTGGAACCGGCGATGTATTCTTGGTACACTCGTTTTCGATGTTATCATTCAACTTTTTCAAACACCATTCCTCTCTTCATCACTTTTGAATTGAAGTTCCGTTTATGAACGCAATATCGATGATTCAAAACAATTTTGTTGGAACTAAGCAACAAACCGATTGAGTTCAAACCAAACAAAAATGCTTCTCAGTATTTTAAGTTCGACCATCACCTTGTTTTCACTCATAACCCGGGCAGGTAAAATATGTTTTCTGTCGGAGAGAGGCAATCCTGGTCATATATCTAGCTTCTATCCTTTGCTGTTCATTTTCCTATTTAAAAAAATTTCACAATTTTTATTATGTATCACATAATAAAAATTCAAAGCACTGAAGAACATTTGAATACAATTTTGGGTGAGTGCAATAAATATTGGTACTTGGGTAAATCGGATTGTAATTTGAGGATGCATGGTATTGTAATGACAGACGCATAACACATGCATGCATTATAACTCATTTTCATTGGTAATCAACATCGAAGAACAATTGCAGATTATGAAATTAAATAACGATTGTGAATAGTTGATCGAATTGGTTCTTTAGTGCGAAAATTTTAAATTGCATTTTTCATTTTTGCAGAATGTTCATTTGTTTGATTGTGAGATGTTTCATGCAGTTTTCATCGTCGACGAATTAGGCCAACTCTTTTTTTCTGCAATCTTTTCAGTTTGACGGACGTTTCTCTGAACAGGTTTTCCTTGATTTAATTCAAATGATTCAAACAAACCTCATCAACAATTCGGAAGAAAAACAAGAAAAAGTGCGAAAAAAATTTCTTCGAAAGAAGAAAATTCACGCAGATGCACATGCATACGCACAAAGACACACTCACAAATTCGAAAACAATTCATTATGTGCCTCATTCTATGAAAATGATATTTTTAATACCGGTTCGCGTTCTTCAACGACAATAGTTGTTTATCAGTTTGTTTCATCTGAAATTCTTCGATGCCTATGTAATGCACTTAGATGTCTATCTAATTACCTCGCTCATCTCTTGCTGTCACTATTCAACGAATCAACTCAATGATAATTTCATTTCATTTTTTCCAACCAGCTTTTTCTTCTTGTCAAATTTCTTTTCGTTTCTGTTTTCTCTTCTTCTTCGCAGATGCCTTCTTGCAAAGATCTTTCAGTGAGTGTTCACCAGTTCCATCTTCATTGTTTCTTTGGTATGAAAGAACGGATTGATTCTCATTATCGTTAAGAGAAGAATGCAAATTCCGTGAAGTGAGCAAAAAAATGCACAGAAAACGAAGTTACCGACAACGCAGGTCCACCTCTTCTTGAGTTATAAAAGTGGGTGCAGTGAGCAACACTCATTCATTCGTTCGCTCGTTCATACGATATTACGCTTCAACGGTACTGTAATAGTTCACAAAAATTATTGTTGTTAGGAGTTGCAGCTTAAGTTTTACCCTTCTGAGGTCCCTTTACATTCACTTTCACGGAATTCTAATCCAAAGTGGTCGATCAGTTGCAGTTAGGTGATAAAATACACCAGCAATATTATGGAATTTAGTGCCAAAACTTTCCCTTTCTCAGTTTCCCATCTGATCGTGAGCACGTCTGTTTCCAAATAATGGCCCCACCTGAGTAAGAATTTATTTAGTTGACAAAAATTTTTACGACAGAATTCCTAGCCATATATTTGGACTTTTGCTGCAGAAAGCTTCATTTTGGTTGGCTGCTCTCTTCGCTCATCAAGAATCAATGCTTCTTCCAGATTATGAACAATGATTGAAGTTTCAGTATGAGTGTTAAATTTTTTGTGGGACTCGCGACAGCGGGTAGCGGATTCGCTATAATAGCATCACTAGTGGCAGTATGCGTCATATTCAACGATATTAACTCACTTTATGACGATGTCCTCACTGAAATGGGAGATTTTAAGGTATTATTGCAAGTTCGATTGTCATGCCTTTTCTGATTATCAGTGTAGTCAGCGAGGAAACAATCACCATCAAAATTCCTCCGTAATAAAGGGAAAAGAAAATTTTGCGACAATGAATTATTGTGAAGTACTTTTGGAAGTCCGTAAATCTCATGCTTTTATTCGTAACATGATTATATCTTGCGATAGTGATAACTTGAAATGATAGTTTCAGATAACACCCTTAAATTTCTTCGGTTTCACTGACTTAAATTTTCCGTTTAGTGTTCAAAGTAAAACGACAACAAATATCTGTTGTCACTAAGTGCTTGATGTTAGAGTTGATTCATTCGATAAATATTCCGTTCAGTTGGTAGCCGATGATGCGTGGGACAGGATTCTGATGTTGCATATGAATCCAACCGGAAGGAGCAGTGCTCCACCAACATTCGAGAGTCTCTTTGGAAGACACAAACGTCAAGCACCCCCTGACAGATGCCGTTAGTCATTTGTTTCACCCGATTGTGAGCGATAGTTGGTATCATTGATATATCAAGTGCTGTTGCAGACTGCGGACCATCGGCAGAAGGTTGCCCTGCAGGACCACCAGGACCACGTGGAGACAAAGGTGATCCTGGACCAGATGGGCCAGATGGTGAGGATGGCCGTCCTGGTGTTCCTGGAGTTGTCAACATCGTGACTCATGATATTCCCGGCGGTTGCATTGACTGCCCACCTGGACCTCCTGGACCACCCGGACCAGATGGACCAGTTGGTGAGGAGGGACCAGCCGGAAACCAAGGACAACCCGGAAGACCAGGACGTCCTGGACCACCTGGACCAGTTGGAGAACCCGGAGAGCCCGGAGAACCAGGACCACAAGGACAGCCTGGCCGACCTGGACCACCAGGACGTGACGGTAAACGTGGACGTGGACCACCAGGACCCAAAGGACCACCTGGACCTCGGGGACCACCAGGGCCACCAGGTAAAGATGGTGAGAAGGGGGCTGACGGAGAGCCAGGAGAACAAGGACCAGCCGGAAGGAATGGCAGAGATGGACGACCCGGAAAGGACGGACGTCCTGGACCGGTAAGATTTATGACTTAATATATTTTTCATTGGTGTCACAGCAATACCGAGTTTTCGAATTCATGATACGTACTCGTCAGTATTCATTCCTCAATTTAACTCTAATTTCAGGCCGGAAGTCCAGGATTGCCCGGACCAGATGCACATTACTGCCCTTGCCCACCGCGCAGCTCAGTATTCGTTAAAAAGAGCTAAATGCCATTCATTCTCAGACTACTCATCCAATCCAAACAATAATCATAAGTGTTCACTCTCAACAATAAATTCATTCATTCTTTACTTCATGATGTTTTTACGATCAAATTATGAGAATAAATACTTTTTGACTGCACTTTTGTGTGTTCATCAACACTGCGTTAATTACTTAATATTCGTTGATTGATGGTGACATACACAAAGATATATTA